GACATACACCTTTGTATACATCCCAACATGGATCATTACAAAGGTTGCCACCACATTGGTTTCTTTTCAAAACATTTTCAAACCCACACACACAAAGCACCATTTCAAACAATTGAAAATTAAGGCAAGTTGATCTAAGCAAGTAACTAAGAGCCCATGGATAACCATGGATAGAAAGGGTGCTAATACCTTCCCTTTCTATAATCTACTCCCCGAACCCAAGAAAACATCTCAAAGGTTTTTGCTGTGCTTTTTAACCTTTCCTTAGGATAAAATAAAAATTCGGTGGCGACTCTTGCTCAACCGAAACATTTGCGAAAACAAACGCAAAACCATAGTCAGTTCTCCCACCGTATCACAGAACTGGCGACTCTGCTGGGGATAAATTTAAAAGTGGAGTAACCTTAGGGCTTAGATCACCCTCTTGCATGACTAATTGTTTGATTTGATTGCTTTATATCTTGGCTCTCTTGTTTGGGTTTGCAATCCTACACCCGGATTTTGGGAAACATTCATAGATAGCAATATGTTGTGGAAACTGTGCGGGGTATACCGACACGGTCGAAGCAATAGCTATATTAGTGCGACATATTTGTGAGTACCGGTAACCCTTGAGTTCAATCAAGGAGAGTACGGGGCTGCTGAGTGATGTCACTAAGCACTAATGACCTAGAACCTTACTTGACCATCTTGGCCTTTTATTAGGGGTAGTGAGATGACCGGCTTTGGTGCAGTCCGAAGTTGGTAGATACTCGATACTACACTCATTGAGGGTTGTTTTCTTGAAATATTTTGGTCGCTAGTTAAGTGGCTAAACCAAAACAATGAACAATGAAAACAATCCAATGATATTGAGCTCCTTAGAACCCGGTTACTATTTATAGGACAGGTTTTTAAGCCAACTACACTCAAGAGGGTACTTACCTATGAAACCCCATGCAAGCCTGAAACTAGGGTTTGGTGTGATTTGCTTGTACATATGTTTGTGCATACATCATAAACATCATAAAGCATCATATGCATTCACTAACCATTTCAAGGGTTTGGATCTTCATCTTTGTTCTTGTTTTGTAGGTCATGGAAATTCCTCGCAGAAAAACCATCCAAGTCAACCTTGTGAGAATCTCTTCTCAACTCAAGGAGCTCACCTCAAGAATTCCAGAAAGCTCATCCTTCAGTGAAAGACATGGTAGACTGCTCAGCTTAGTCAACACCAACATTGAAGAAGACATGATGAAAGTGCTATTCCAGTTCTTTGACCCTCTTCACCACTGTTTCACTTTCCCTGGCTACCAGTTGGTACCCACTTTGGAGGAATTTTCTCAACTCCTGAGAATTCCTATCCTTAATCAACTACCTTTCAACGGTACGGAAAAGGAACCAAAGCCTGAAGATGTTGCTCGAGCATTACATCTACAGCCTTCTGACATCAAGGGGCATTGGGAAACTAGAAGCGGCGTCAAAGGTTTCTTAGAAAAATTCTTGTTTGAGAAGGCACAAGAGTGTTGGAATTCATTGGACCTACAAGCCTTTGAAGAGATTGTGGCACTCCTTATCTATGGGTTGGTCCTATTCCCAAATTCTGACCAATTGGTAGATGTCAACGCCGTCAAAATCTTCTTGTCCAGAAATCCAATACCAATATTGCTTGGGGACATCCTTCACTCATTTTACACACGAACAATGAGAAAGAGGGGTGTTCTCATGTGTTGTACTCCTCTCCTTGCAAGGTGGTTTATTTCGCACCTTCCACAATCTGTCTTAAAGAATGACCAAGGCTCAAGGTGGTCCCAACGGTTGATGACTCTTACTCACTCTGATGTACATTGGTGTTCTCGGTCCAGAGAAAATGTCATCATCGTCGACCGTTGCGGAGAGTTTCCTAATGTTCCTTTACTTGGAATCAGAGGAGGTATCACCTACAACCCTTGCCTAGCTTTGAGGCAATTTGGATATGCACGAAGAGATGGCCCTCACGACATGTTGATTCCTGACCTAGTTTTTGACTTCGACAACGATGCGCAAGGACTTCGCCAAAGATTCATCAGAGCTTGGGGGAGGCCCAACAAGGTTGATAGCAAGACACTGGGACACAAGAACTCCATCCCTCTTGAACCTTATCTCAAGTGGGTACGAGCCCGAGCCTAGAGTCTAATGATGCCTTATCCTCATGTTCTCCCTGTGATTAAAGAGCCCGTCAAGGAAGGAGAGGTCCCCTACACCATCCTACATCCTGACATGCCTACATCGTGGGAGGATATGCAGAAGAGTTGGATCCAACTCAAGGAGGAACGAAACACTTTTGAAGCCAGCTTCTACGCCAGCGAGAAGAAGGTTTTAGAGCTCACCCGCCCACTCCATGAGCAAGAGGCCCTCAACACCTACATTGCGCCAAAGAGGATGCGCAACGTCTTTTTACCTTGAGAAGTTGTTTTTGTAATATTTGGCCCATGGGGCATTTATGTACTAACAAATCTTTTCTTATTAATATGACGTGCGTTCTTTTTGTCTACAACAATTGTGAATTTCCAAAACCCTTGAATGCATTGCATAGATAGCATCTCATGCATCATGTGCATAACAGGTACCCATTTTTCTACAGGTTGCTTAATCTTCTTCGCTGTTTATTTGGAACAGTCATCATGAATCCAGATTCCTCCAGTGAGCAAGCAATCAAGGCCCTTCAGGCCCAAAGTGCCCAGTTTCAAGAAATGGTCCTGAGCCTGGCCCAAGGTCAGCAAGAGTTGAAGGCTCTACTCCTAAAGAAGAAGAAGAAGAAGAGGACTGCGTTGTTCAATGCTGGACGCAGGTTTGGGAACACACTCCACAATGAGGCTGATCCAACTACTTCCTCTGCAGAGAAAGACAGTCCCCAAGGGGGAAGAGCTCCTAGTCCTGCAGTCTCTGACAACGAGACGGACTACAATGACGAACAATACCCACCCGCTGCTGACAGATACAAGCAATTAGAGGACCGCTTGAGCGCCATGGAGATTCAGAATGTGCCGGGGCTGGATTTCGGAGATTTGGGCTTATCTTCTAGGGTAGTAATCTCACACAAGTTTAAGGCGCCTGCCTTTGCCAAATACGACGGGGCCTCCTGTCCAAAGCTGCATCTAAGGTCGTACGTAAGGAAGATCCAACCTTACACGGCAGACAAAAATCTTTGGATCCACTTCTTCCAAGATAGCCTTTCGGGGTCACAGCTTGAGTGGTTCTATCAACTAGATGGAACCAGTATCCGACATTGGGAAGATTTGGCAACTGCATTTTATAGACAATAATTACCAGAAATAATTACCAGAAATAAACTTGAAATATCAACATAATGCAACATAATCAAGATAAAACGGTAACTTTATTTATGTAAATCAGGTCGAATATGATATATGTTTTCGCGTTATTAGCCCTAGTGTTGTTTTCTAAGCTAATCTATCAAAAATAAGGTTAATGGAATTTGGGAACAAAACACCCCAAAAACCATAACAAAAAATGAACTAAAAGTGAAGTTATAAAACAAATATCAGCAGACCGCACTTAGTTGGCTCACCGCACTAAGCGGGTTGCACGATATTTACGCGTTAAACTGACCTAAACTATTCTAAGTGCGCTATCTACGCAGAGCGGGATCCAAAACTAAGCTTCTGTCAAAATGTCAAAATGCAAGCAGCGCGCTACAAAATACATTGAGCGCACTCGCGCTCAGTAGCCTTTTGCGTGCTAAGCGGGCTCTCCTGGGTAAAACTTCTCAAAACTGGTCTTTTATTCTGAAAACGTGCATCAAGAGTCGTGCCTTCGACACATTATTCCTTGATGCTCCAAAATGAATCAAATACCTACGAAATGAATGGAAAAACATCAAACGGTACACTATGTACACAAAAACACAAATAAACACAAACTAAACATATTTACATAAAAGTTGGGTTTTTCAACGATTATTAACAACAAAGAGTTGATAAGTGCAATAAAAAGTATATACAAAAATAGCTACAATTTGCACTTATCAGCGATCACAAGATATGAAAAGGAGTACCTTACCCTTGAGGATACGATAATTGTTCGCCTCCTGAGGAAGTTTAAAGTTATAGACTCGCGTAAAGTAATTAAATTGTGGTTTGTGCGAGGAAATCATCTCACTGTTTACTTAGGTAAGTTTTGAATACCCTATTTTATCTTTTAAGTACTTTCAGACAACATATATGACCTTTATCTGTTGTTTTGCAGATTGTATAGCGAAGATTACTGTTGAGAATAAGAGGAGAAGATGGGAGAGGATCCGGGTTATTTATGGAGAGACTAATAGTCTCTAAAGTCACCCAAAGAGATTTACCCTCAAGGGAAGAAAAGGCAAGTTAAGGACCCAACTTCAAATTTTCCCAGTATGAAGGCTCAGAGGCTGGAAGAGGGTTCTTCCCCCATTGTTGGTACCGTCTCGTCCACTTCTAGGATGGCGAGAATTTAGGTGCCACATGAAGGAGAGGCTCCCCTGCCTCTTTCTATTTTATGGAGCGATGCTGGTTTTGACACTTTATAATTCAAGAGTTCTCACCCCCTTACTCCAAGGAGTTTCCTGGTGACTATTAGGTCCTCTAATATAAATCGACTCATGAAATTTTGAGCATGAAGGATAATCATCTATTGAGGGGATTGATACTAGAGAATGTTGATTAGGAGAGGAGATATAAGGATTAGAAATAGATTGAGGTGAAGCTTCATAAGTATGTGGATGCCTATAATGAGAGCTAGATGTTGTTGAAGGTCCTTCAAAAAGATAAAGAGACCAGGGAGAGAAGTTGGCGGATGTGAAGGCTAAGGCTATCGACATCACTGCTAAGGAGAAGTCTTCACAGGAGTCCCAGACACCACCCTTGTTCTCCAACAGGATTTGGATGAGGAGGTGTCAGAGCTACTAATGAGGAGGTATTTACTTCTGGGTCTACTTTGAGCGTGCCAAAAAGCATGTTTCCTTCCTCTATACCCGGTTGGATCTGAGCAAAATGGAGTTCATTAAAATTGTTCGTGAGGCCAAGCTGGTGGATGAAAAGGTTGCGGCCCTTCTAGAGCCTAAAAATTCTTCCCCCGCCAAGGACACCCAAGACAAGGGTGGGGTGATGGGAGGCAGTGAATATGAAGACCCTCATCTAGAGGATTTCGTTAAGGTGGAGGAAATTTGGGAAGAGAGTCGATGGCTTGGGTTTTCTTGTATAGTTTCTTGGCCCCTATTGGCCATTTATTGTATTTCTTTTACCTCTTCGGAGGCCTTTCGTAATTGATAAAATAGTGGCACCCCTTGGGCATCTTTTATATTAATCACCTTTACTGTTATTTTTCTCCATAATTATTTCTACTTGACTGTTTTTAATCCTTAATTGGTAATTTCTTTTAATATCACTCTCTCCCGGGGAGGGGCGTATATTTGTCACTTTTCCAGCTAGGAGAATAGTAAGGATCTCTAGTGAGAGCTGAATAATTTGACTGCTTCTAAGGACTACAAGGGTTCCTCTTGGGGATCTATCATTTTTTCTGTTTCTAAGGGTGGCAATGATCCTACTTACGGATCTAGCCTTCTGATCGCCTTATAGGGTGGCAAGGATCCTGCTTAGAGACCTAGCATTTTGATCACCTCTTAAGGCGACAAGGATCCTATAAAGGGATCTAGCATTTGACCTCCTCATACAGCGAGAAGGATCCTACTTAGGGATCCAACATTTTGATCGCCTCATAAGGCGACAAAGATCCCACTTTGGGATCTAACATTTTGATCGCCTCATATGGAGGCAAGGATCCCACTTAAGAATCCAACATTTTGATCGCCTCTGAAGGCGACAAGGATCCTACTTAGGGATCCAACATTTTGATCGCCTCATAGGGAGACGAGGATCTCACTTAGGGATCCAGCATTCTGATCGCCTCATAGGCCGGTCGGGATCCTACTTAGAGATCCATCATTTTAATTGCCTTTTAAGGCGACAGGGATCCTACTTACGGATGCAACATTTTGATCATCTCATAGGGCAGCAAGGATCCCACTTAGGGATCTAACATTTTAATCGCCTCATAGGGCGGCAACGATCCCACTTAGGAATCCAACATTTTAATCGCCTTATAGGACAACAAGGATCCCACTTATAGATCCAACATTTTGATAGTCTGTGAGGGCGACAAGGATCATGATTAGGGATCCAACATTTTGATCGCCTCAATGGGCGATCTTCTCGCGAGTCTTTAGGTTTCATGCAAAAAGAGAATAGCCAGCAAACACAAATTCTATGAAATAACAAAATAGGGGGTGTCTCATTAAATCCCCCCTCCCACTACATAAAGCGCAGAGGAAAAAGTGTGCGCCCCATAAAATAACACATCCTTACAAATGTTAGAGATACAATATTCACCCACGAAATGACTAAATAGTAGTACAGAAACAAATAAACGATACTAGTGCAAGTGGAGCTGTTGTACCCCAAAATTTGCCCTCCCATATCCATCAAGAATTGTCAAAGTCAAGGTCACAAAATGCCCCAAGGGTTGTGCAGCTCAACTGTCTCCTAGACAGTCAAAACTAGGGTTTGAGTTCTGGTCAAGCAAATGAACTTTTCAAAGGCCCAATCAAGTCTCATGTGCCTACAAAGATGGTCAAATATCCTCATGTCAAGTTTCAAGGCATTCAGCTCAAAATTGCACAGTCAAAACCCTAGATTGCACTACAGTCAACTGTAGGGGCAAAATGGTCATTTGGCAGTCAAAAGTTCAAATTTTTGGTCAATATATCATTTTGAAGCCACAAACATCATTTGATCAATGCTTGATCATGATTCTCAAAATTTGGCTCAGAAATCATCAAAGATGCAAAAGTTGCTATATTTGGACAGCTGAAAAAGTCAACAGAAATTGACCAGGGCATAACTTTCACATGGATTATCAGAAAAATTCCATCCAAAGCTCATTTTGAAGAGAAAGACATTTCCTACAATTCATCTTCATGTTCCAATTCCAAGAAATGCTCTCACAAAAAGTTATCAATTTCAACATTATAGGTCATTTTCAAAAGTCAACAAAAAGTGACTTTAAGTCAAAGGCCATAACTTGAGATTGGTAAATCAAAATGACATGGGACCAAAGGCATTGGTTAGAGGACTCAAAGACCTTTCCAAAATGTCCAAGAACATGTGAAAAGCTTAAAAATTGACCAAGTTATACCTTGTGGAAGTTGGGAAATTTTTGGAAATTTTTGAAAGTCAACATTGATATAAAAGGCCTAAAAATGCAAATGGGCCCAAGTTTCTTCCAAATTTCTTCATGCCAAGCCTATGCACGACCACTAGGCCCAAAGGGAAGTATTCTCATATTTTTTAATTATTTATTTGAATTAATATTAATTTATATTCATTTAAATGATTTTAATTCATGAAAAATATAAACCTTAACATGAAAAATCTTTTTATACACATTATAGGCTCAATATTTCGTGTGAAGGCAAATGAGGAAAGATTTGGTATGATTGGAACTAATTGACATCAAAAACCATGAAAAAAGATTGGAAAAAGATATTAAGCAAATCAAATCTTAAACCATTGAATTCATGAGATTCTATCCAACTTTGTTGACCTAACATGTTCTATACATACTCAGTACCACAAACCAAAACCCTAGAGACTGCAAGCGGCGCCCTAAGTACACTCAAGCAACTCCAAAAAACTCACATCCAAAGTGAATTCGAAATCCAATTTCCAGAGGTTCTTGATCAAAACAAAACACGTACATACCTTACACGAGGTCTTCTGAAGATAATCATACAATTTTCCGAGTCTGAAAGTACATGAAACGCAATATTGCATCTTGGTTTTCTTGTTTTTATTTTTGAATCGGTTTCATCGTTTCATGCATCTACACATCATAAAAATTACATATTATTCATCCTTGAGTTCGTGCGATCCTGTATATATATATATTGTTGAGTTTCGTGCAGGATTGAGAGAGCCACCATTAACGACCTAGAACTTGAGGTTTTGGGGTCTTCTGAATCTGGAACAATTGGGACGTATAAATGCTATAATTGAGATCGCAAGAACACATAGAACTAATCTAGGCAAGAATTTAAGATTGATATCGTGTGTTCTGGCCTAACGATTTTCGTAGGATTTTTGGGTTTTGTGTTTCGCAGGTATTTCCGCAGCTAAAACTGCAAGTGAATCCGCAGGAAATCTTAAACCCCATGAGGAAGACGCTGAGCTGTAGGCGTGGGAGTGGTGCATTTGAATGTTAGCGCGTTTTTCAGCGCTTCAGTTAACGCTCATGTTTTTTTTATTATATTACTTCCGTTTCATTTAATAAACAAAGCTCGCGCCTGGCACAAGTGGTGGATGTGCTGTCCTATAACCACTGGGACCTGGGTTCGATTCCCAGGTCCCTATACTTCTCCAATGCATTTTGTTTATATGTGATTACATGCAGCACAAGCGCTGGAGACTACCATATGCCATCATAACTCCAGCATACACGTGGCCATCAGAGACTATCCAAAGGTGCACAATTGATGAACATCCTAGACCATGGTCAACGTGCCATAAAATGCTTGGAAAAGTCAGTAAATTCAAGGCTTAGTGGGCCAAAATTCCAGGCCTGAACCTCCCATTTGGGGCAACACCCCACTCTGGTTTGCCTTCTATATTTTTTTTATTTTTATTGTGTAATTTATTTTATTGCTTTAATTAATTAATTTTCTCCTTTTTACAAGATAAAAAAAAACATTCAAAAATTCAGAAAAGATCAAAAAATAATATTTACTTTATTATAATTATTTCCCTAGCATGTAAATAAATTAATTTCAAATTAGGTTTAATTTACATTTTTTTCATAACTAAAAATCCAAAAAAACATAGAATTAGGTTTATTGATAATGTTTATATCTTTTTTAATTTTTTTCTTTTTTTATAATATTATTTATTATTTTATTTTATAATTAAATGTACATGAATAAATTAGGTTTAATTTAGATCTTAATTTAATTCTTTCTTAATAAATAAAAATATTAGTATTAGGGTTTAGCATTTTAATTTTAATTAATTTCTTTTCTTTTTTTTTCTTTTAAAATCTAAAAAACACAAAAATATCAAAACATTTAATTTTTAACTTTAATTCTCATCAATTTAATTATTCTTGCAAAAAAAGGTCCGACGCCCGTCGCTTTCAATTATTAATTTCGCACCATTTATTTTTATTGCTTATTTTGTAATTGCCCCAAAGCCATGTAATTTATTTATCGCACTTTTATCGCTTTATTTATTTTCCGCTAAATCGGGTCCTGGAAATTTTGGCGATGTGGACCCGCGCCTTTGTAATAGTTTAGAACTTTTAATTTCCGCAACTTTTTAACTGTTAACAAATGCATGCAAGAATGAATGACAAAAATAAAAACAAACGCATAGATCACTTTGACATGAACAAGATAAAAATAAATGAATCTGACACACAAATCACACACCACCCCTAGGGTACGCCTCACTGTTGCCTTGCCTCGAGAGGTGATCGTCGAGTAGAGGATGTCTTAGTAAGTCCTCATGATCCAGGAACCTGGCATGAGGGTAGCTTCTAAGGTGTCTTCCCATTGCTCTGGTGATCACCATGTCCCGAACCACGAATTGACCCGAACACCTCCAACGGTGGTGCTGCCTACCTCTCAATGGTGGGATGGCACTACTTTAAAGGACATTTACACAGACGAATTCCTTAGGGTAGGTAGGTTCTCAAGGATACTTGCTCTAATTTCAAAAACAAATCAAAACATCTTTTCACACCAACACATTTTCAAAAGCTTTCAAAGCAAACTTTTCAAACACTCTGACGTATGAGTCGAACTGAAATTTTTCAAAGAAACTTTTTTAAACCCACATTGAAAAGCAAACAAACATTTTTGAAAACACATTGAGCAAGTATCTAAGAGCCCATGGATAACCATGGATAGAAAGGGTGCTAACACCTTCCCTTTCTATAACCTACCTCCCGAACCGAGAGCAATCTCTTTAAGGAATTTTTCTGTGCTTTTGTCCTTTCCATTTGGAGAAAATAAAAGACGGTGGCGACTCTTGCTTACCGCGACATTTCGCGAACCAGCGTTAAACAGTCAGTTCCAGATCCACCGATCACAGAACTGGCGACTCTGCTGGGGAAACTTAAAGTGAGGTGTACCTTAGGGCTAGGTCATAACTGTGTTTTCACTTGTATTGTTTTGCTTGCTTTATTATTGTGGGTTGCATCGGAGATACATAGATCCTAA